CCCGACAGGGCACTTCCCGGCGCCGCAGTCACTTCAAATTTGGCAGGACTTGCCTTGGGCCGACAGAACACGGGGGCCGGTTGGCCGAAAAGTCTAAGATGAGGGGGTCAAAACTGACCTCGACTGACCGGCGCCTTATATGAGCTATAAATCGAAAAAAAAATGTCCAAGTTGGAACCTCTTCATAACTCCTGAGGTCGTAAACCGACCGTCAGGCGAATTAATTAAGCATTCAAATTCTCAATGTTTTCGAAAGCCTAAGCGAAGCTGGGCAGCATGCCTAGTAGTTAATTTAAAACTCAAGCACTTTAGGTGTATTTAAAAAAGAGACTGTGCTGTTAGTAACTTAGTAAGCGCAGAATGTTAGACAAATACAAAACAAAAGTAATTAAAGTTAAAACAAATAGAAATAAACCGGGAGTGATCTCCCCTAAACTTTCTCGAATATTCTTATATAAAACAACAGGGGATGGGAACTCGGGATATAGTTATGATTTTTAATCAATTTTAAATACATAAACTTTTTAAAATAAAATAGAATCTCATAGAAAAAAGTATTGCACACCAAGCGAACGCCGAATAAAGATGTTCATAATGGTGCGCAATATTATTAGTACTTTATAAATTTAGATGCGTTTTTGAGAAATCGGAAATAGCGTAAATTAGTACTTCCCGTCAACGGAAATTACTCAAAATTTAACAGAAGGTAGAGAATTAGATCTTTAACTTACATGTGAAATTTCATTTATCTATCTGAAATAGTACTCAAGTTATAGGCTTTTGAAAAATTCAAAGTAGGAAAAGTACCACTTCCGGTTATCGGAAACCGCTTAAAAGTTGATACGGATCTACGATTTTGATAAAATACTTATATATGAAATTTCATCAACCTAGCTGTAACGGTACTCAAGTTATCGTGTTTACACACGGACACACAGACAGACACACAGACACACAGACATACGGACAAGATTGCAAAATTATGTTTTTCCGTATCAGTGAGGTGTAAAACGTCGAGATTTGTAAAAATCTCGATTTTTTTTTTGCACGATTACAATACTTTCTCTATACTACGTATATACGAGAAAGTAAAAACGATAGCTTTCGGACTTAGCTCGAATCATGAATTAACACTGGTTATGAATCGTGAAAACCCACTCTATGTTTATGGATATCCAAAAGAAATGATTCTCAAATGTAGGGTGGAGCTTAGAGGTGGGTGGCAGTTAAATCTATGCCTTGGGTTGCCAAACCCTAAGAAAAAAAAATCTCCAAATTCGAGTAGTACGTTACTGGATCTCTGACCGGAGAAGGTTTGTGTTTATAGAGCGTCCACGTATTACATTACAGGCCATGATCGCTGTCTCACAAGGGAAGGTACGTGACTATAATTAGGGAGAAAACGACGTGACAGCCGCATACACCTTATTTATGAGTTTCCCGACGGCATGTTCGGACTGCCGTGAAAGTCAGTACTTTAGACGTGTGAGAAATCTGGACAACTTTACAATAAAGTATAAAGCTAACTCGGCCTGGTGTATCAAAACAGTATAGACTTCAAAATTTGTTTAGAATCCATACAATATTTTTTTAACCAAAACAATTATTGTCTTAACTATTGTAAAGGATATCCTACAATTAAAAAAATGTGCGTTTATTAATGACTACCATATCACTGCTCTTCAACGATGCCCATTCCTCCATAAAAGTTGTCCGACTTGGACAATTCGATGACTATATTATGTCAGCACCATTGGAAACGATTGTATATAACGATTTGAATGAATTCGGTAAATTAATAATTATGTTTGGGAACGGATGAATTTTTAAGATGACACAACATAATAACACTTTTACTTTCTTCCAAAAAAAAAAATGAATAATAAATCACTCTGTTGGATCCCCCACCCTGCCCCTATGCCCGCCACTGAATGGTTAATTTTATTATACCAAGTCAAGTAGGCTTACATATACGACAACTACAACAAGAAAGTCAGGACTAGCTTTCACTAACTGTCTACTACAGGCAACCCGTCTGTTCACTACAAAACGTCTTCCCCGGCTCGCATACAATAGGGTATCTGATTACGTGTTTTCCAAATTTTCCTCCCTGCTCAGGTCGGGGGCTAATTCGAGTCCACCCATCTCCAGTCACCTCAGGTCAAATGCGAGGCGACCGTACCCTTCACACAGGGAGGTGTGTGACACTATAATTTACGGCCCGTCCCAGTTTAGGTGGGTGATAACTCACTAGCACCAACCGGGGCCTCAGTTATAACAATCAACAACGTCGGCATTCGACCATTTAATTTTTCCCAAGTGAATTCAGCAAAAATTATTTAAGTTTACAAACTAATTCAGATAACAGTGAAGGTGCTGAAGCGCGGGGCCCCTTCAGGCGCGGGGCCTGGGGCGTCCGCCCCCCCCCCCCAAACGCCGGCTCTGGATATACTTATCAAGTATTTTCTTTTATCAGATATTTTTTGGTGATGTTTTAAAAATGTACAACATTTGTGTTTTTTTACTTCCTTTTCATTTTTTTCAAAAAGTGAGAAAAGCAAATTTCAATGCTATTAATTTAAATGATGTACTTATTTTTGAGGTTTGAAAAAAAATGAGTCTCTTCTCTATGTATTGTGACATATACTTTTACAGATATAACCTCTCAAACATGGCACTTTTTAGGGTGTTGGAAAGAAAGTTAAAAACCATTTTTTTAAAAACGTCATAACTTTTTTTACTACTTGAGATATTTGAACAAATTTAGTGCCCACTATCTTAGAATCACGAGTTCTTGACATAGCATTTTTCAAAAAAGCTCTGGGACAGTTTTAAAAAATCAGTTTGACACCCATACTTTTATGCATTACTACACCATTCATACGATCGCATGAAACTTTGGGAAGTTAACAAGAATACTCCAGGGAGATACTACATATAAGCAACAAGTCGAATGCGGTTTGAAATTGTTCATTTACTTTTCTTTTTTAGTCAGGTATAAAATCATTTATCCTCAAGCAGGAAAAAAAAATCAAATTAAATAAACAGGGAGTGGTCTCCCCTAAACTTTCTCGAATATTCTTATTTATATAAAGCTACAGGGGATATGAACTCGGGATATAGACATGATTTTTAATCCATTTTAAACACTTATACTTTTTAAAATAGAATAAAATTTTGTGGAAAAAGAATTGCACACCAAGTGAACGCCAAATAAGATGTGCATAATAGTGCACAATATTATTAGTATTTTATAAATTTACATTAGTTTTTTTGAGAAATTGGAAATAGCATAAATTACTACTTCCGGTCAACGGAAATTACTCAAAATTTAACAGAAGGTAGAGAATTAGATATTTTACTTACATGTGAAATTTTATTTATCTATCTGAAATAGTGCTCAAGTTATAGGCTTTTGAAAAAATTCAAAGTAAAAAAAAGCACCATTTCCGGTTATCGGAAATCGCTCAAAAGTTGATACGGATCTACGATTTTCATAAAATAATTATATATGAAATTTCATCAAGCTAGCTGTAGAGGTACTCAAGTTATCGTGTTTACTTACACACACACATACGGACAAGATTGCAAAATTATATTTTTCCGACTCAGGGAGGTGTAAAACGTCGATTTTTTTTTTGCACGATTACAATATTTTCTCTATACTTCTTATATAGGAGAAAGTAATTAGATTGCATTTTTCTCATTTTATTAAAATGAGAAAAATGCAATATTTTTTATTTGATTAGTTTTTCATATTGAGCCACTGCTTATGTTGAAGCATTTTTCTATTGGGTTTATTGTATGTTTTTTTTAATTAGGTTTGCCTGAGATAAACATTTTGTATTAATGCATATGGACGTTTTGTTCCTGCTTGAGGATTAATATTTTTATGCCTAGACTGTAAAGGGGAATAAACAAGCTGTTGAATGATTCGCTGCTGATACTTCGTTACATGTCTTTGCAGACAGTGCTGAGTCACTCAGTTACACTCAGTTACAAACTTCAAACATGTGCCAATCAGCTTGCTACTTGGACAAAAGTTAACAAAATGAAACTTCACCCCGATAAATCAAGTCAATGATTATTACAACTCATCAGAAACGCCTTCGTCTTCCATCCACCTCATTACCCATTACAATAGACAATACAAACATAGAACAGGTTAACCGTTATATAAATGCCTAGGATTGGTTATAGATCACAACCATATTCATTTTCTAAGAATGTCCTTATTAAAGACAACTTTTCAACTAGCAAGGATAAAGAACTTTCTGGACTATAGGAGCAGGCTAGTTTTTTATGAAGCTTTTATTCAATCTAGGTTGGATTATGCTTCTGTAGTGTGGAGCGGCAGCTTTATATCTAGGCAGCGTCCTCTTCTTTCTTTACAAAAAAGGGCTATAAAACTGGTTACTGGCTTGTCTAGTAGTCTGGATTCTTTTATTACAACTAAAATACTTCAATTAAACAAAAAGATAATATATACTAAATCAATTTTTTTATATAAAATATTCCACGAAACAGCCCCCTCTTACTTATCAGACCTATTTTCTTTTAACATTAAATTAAATTCTCGTCTTAATTTACCGTTCCCACATACAACTTTTTTCCAAAAACATAGCTTCGCCTACTCTGATTCTAATTTGTGGAACAATCTTCCTAATAAAATAAAGCTATCTAGATCTGAAAATATATTCAAATCCAAAACTAAAACAACAATTATGTAATGACCTCTCTGACTCATTGAAATATTTCTCAATCGTCTATTATTTATATTCTTTTTTTTTTATATCTCATTTTGTATTATAAATATGTAACATTATTTCTTTATTCCACATTTTTAGTGCTATGTTACTGCTATGTGTTATTGAATTGTTGTTTTATTTGTTTAAACGGCCAATGTGAAAAAAGGTTTTCGTGCCTACAATTGTTAGTTTTTTTTAATAAATTGAACTAAAATTGAAATTGCTTTATCTCAGGAACACGGGGATAAAGAATTATTCAAGAGTTGTGATAGAAGCATTTATTAACATGCTCTGGTATTACTGGTAATGATAAATAAAACCTTTTTAAATTTATTCACCAATGCAAAGTAAACACTGTATTATCCTAGTAAACTTTATTGTAATATCTTAAGTAGTCCTCATCTTTAGGTTTCAGTACACATTTTTCAGCCAAGTTGACTATCCAGCCAGGCTCCAATCCATAAAATATTTGCAGCGGATCTTTTCGCATCAACAACATAGACTGCAGAGGACCAGGCTCTGGCAGTTTATACCCATATTTCTGCGCTAGTTTTTCACGGGCCTCTAGAATTTTCTCTGGGTCCGCTAGGTAACCTCTGAACTCTGGGTCTGAATAATATTCTAGTGCATCCTGGGAATAGAAGAGCAATTACTTCATTTATTGTTTCATAATAAAAGTGAGCTTTACAAATCTTACTCTAAAAAGATAAAATCACAGACAATTTTGTGTAAAATAAGCTAAATTCTTTATTAGCTGTGGTGGACATTCTTGTGTGCTACTATTACAGGCATGTTGTGCTACTATTGCAGGCATGTTGGTACTTGTGCTACTATTGCAGGCATGTTGTGCTACTATTGCAGGCATGTTGGTACTTGTGCTACTATTGCAGGCATGTAGGTACTTGTGCTACTATTGCAGGCATGTTGTGCTACTATTGCAGGCATGTTGGTACTTGTGCTACTATTGCAGGCATGTAGGTACTTGTGCTACTATTGCAGGCATGTTGGTACTTGTGCTACTATTGCAGGCATGTTGTGCAACTATTGCAGGCATGTAGGTACTTGTGCTACTATTGCAGGCATGTTGTGCTACTATTGCAGGCATGTTGGTACTTGTGCTACTATTGCAGGCATGTAGGTACTTGTGCTACTATTGCAGGCATGTTGGTACTTGTGCTACTATTGCAGGCATGTTGATACTTGTGCTACTATTGCAGGCATGTTGTGCTACTATTGCACGCATGTTGGTACTTGTGCTACTATTGCAGGCATGTAGGTACTTGTGCTACTATCGCAGGCATGTTGTGCTACTATTGCAGGCATGTTGGTACTTGTGCTACTATTGCAGGCATGTAGGTACTTGTGCTACTATTGCAGGCATGTTGTGCTACTATTGCAGGCATGTAGGTACTTGTGCTACTATTGCAGGCATGTTGTGCTACTATTGCAGGCATGTTGGTACTTGTGCTACTATTGCAGGCATGTTGGTACTTGTGCTACTATTGCAGGCATGTTGTGCTACTATTGCAGGCATGTTGGTACTTGTGCTACTATTGCAGGCGTGTTGTGCTACTATTGCAGGCATGTTGGTACTTGTGCTACTATTGCAGGCATGTTGTGCTACTATTGCAGGCATGTTGTGCTACTATTGCAGGCATGTTGGTACTTGTGCTACTATTGCAGGCATGTAGGTACTTGTGCTACTATTGCAGGCATGTTGTGCTACTATTGCAGGCATGTTGGTACTTGTGCTACTATTGCAGGCATGTTGGTACTTGTGCTACTATTGCAGGCATGTTGTGCTACTATTGCAGGCATGTTGGTACTTGTGCTACTATTGCAGGCATGTTGGTACTTGTGCTACTATTGCAGGCATGTTGTGCTACTATTGCAGGCATGTTGGTACTTGTGCTAGTATTGCAGGCGTGTTGTGCTACTATTGCAGGCATGTTGGTACTTGTGCTACTATTGCAGGCATGTTGTGCTACTATTGCAGGCATGTTGGTACTTGTGCTACTATTGCAGGCATGTTGTGCTACTATTGCAGGCATGTTGGTACTTGTGCTACTATTGCAGGCATGTAGGTACTTGTGCTACTATTGCAGGCATGTTGTGCTACTATTGCAGGCATGTTGGTACTTGTGCTACTATTGCAGGCATGTTGGTACTTGTGCTACTATTGCAGGCATGTTGTGCTACTATTGCAGGCATGTTGGTACTTGTGCTACTATTGCAGGCATGTTGGTACTTGTGCTACTATTGCAGGCATGTTGTGCTACTATTGCAGGCATGTTGGTACTTGTGCTACTATTGCAGGCATGTTGTGCTACTATTGCAGGCATGTTGGTACTTGTGCTACTATTGCAGGCATGTTGTGCTACTATTGCAGGCATGTTGGTACTTGTGCTACTATTGCAGGCATGTTGTGCTACTATTGCAGGCATGTTGGTACTTGTGCTACTATTGCAGGCATGTTGTGCTACTATTGCAGGCATGTTGGTACTTGTGCTACTATTGCAGGCATGTTGTGCTACTATTGCAGGCATGTTGGTACTTGTGCTACTATTGCAGGCATGTAGGTACTTGTGCTACTATTGCAGGCATGTTGGTACTTGTGCTACTATTGCAGGCATGTTGTGCTACTATTGCAGGCATGTTGGTACTTGTGCTACTAACCTGTGGAGGAAGCTTGCACTTAGGTATTGGTAGACCCTTTTCAAAAAATGCTTGTGGATTATAGAGCGCAGCCAGAGACTGGGGATCATAGTAACGTGTTGTGATAGTTCCTCCATTCCTTTCAACAGCAGCTATCACTAGCTCAGTTGTCCACTGGACTTCTAGGTTCACTTGCGCACAAAAATTATCACAACCCTGAAATAAGTTCAATACATGGAGCTTGAAATAAAACAACCACAATTTTTCAACTTACACCATAATTACCACCCTATTAGCTCTGCTCGTACAAAACTACTACTACAATTTTAACCAATTCTTAATAATGTACCCAAAATTAATTTAAAAAATGGGGCAAAAACACATCTAAAACGCACAATTTTGGCCTGTGATTTTTTAGAAACATATTTGTTGTTACATTATTTGCATCTAAACAAATGAACAAGAGAACAAAACAGACCCACTGATTTGTTTTTGTCTTATTGTCATTAATTAAAACTAGCGGTAACTGTCTCATGCAAACATTCTTTTTTAACAGGAAGATTTACTGGAAGAAAAAAGGGGCTTGATAAACTAAAGTAGGTGGGTCCTGAAGAAAATTAATATAACTACTACTACAATTTTAATTGCGCCATTAAAATATGGTACAGTTACTGACCATGAATAGACTACTAAGTTGAGTAATACTGAGACGGGATAACGCTACCTAAGGGCAGATAAGAGAACTCATTGAATAAGAGACTACTAGCAATCTATGGATATAATTCTCTGCATAGACGGACCATGCGGGACACCATCACCACGTAATCTCAACAGACCATATCTCTACAGTCTGGTGAGCTGTTTACAATCATAGTGCCGGCTATTAGGCGCAGATAATTTAGTTTTTAAACTATTTGAAACTAAAGGGAGGTAATAACAAGCTCTGCTTGATATTTTCACTCATTGCAGTTTGTAAACTGCCGTCTCTAATGGCTGCACCAGTCAAGTGGGGGGGGGGGGGGGGGGGGGGGGGGGGGGGGAGGCGGCGCATGTATGGGTGATAGTGTTTTAAAGCAAAATATTTTCAGTCGCTGTAATCGTAGTGTCAAATTCACAAATTATGAATTACTGAAAAATTGAAATTAAAACAACTAAACAGCGGCGAATGCTACGTCGGGTTCAACTCATATTTAGATATTTGGGTCAACTCATATTTAGATATTTGGGTCAACTCATATTTAGATATTTGGGTCAACTCATATTTAGATATTTGGGTCAACTCATATTAAGATATTTCATTACTTGCACACAAAGAAAGTTTTTTTAGACATGAAGGGTTGCAACTCCAGAACTATTGGCTTGGAAAGACTAAATTTAGTACTTATGAAAACTTTGTAATTACAAAAAATACTAAAAAATACAAAATAATAAAAATATTAAAAGTATTCAACATTTGTTATAAGCTTTCAAATGCACTATTATAAGACAAAAATAAATTTTATTGTAAGCAAAGTAAATAAATTAAAGGAATAAATTATTTTATTTCACAACTTAAAATGAACTTAATTAAAATAATATTTTGGGGAGACATCTGTAACCATAGCTACAATATGGACCAGGTGTCAGTTCATTAACAAGATAACTGAGAGGGTTGGGGGGTTGGGGGGGGGGGGGTCCATGTGTAGATGAGGTAAGTTAGCTGGGAGAAAACTCAACAATCAAACAGGAGCGGAGTCTCTCAGGCAACAGGATTGCCAAGCTTGGTTTCCTTTCAGCAGTTTCTGGGATATAGCTGGGATATAGCTGGGATATAGCTGATGTCAGGAGATTGTATACAGAGGCTTGGGGGGGGGGGGGGAGAAGTAGAAAAAATTGAAAAGCTCATTTTACGCTGCAGTTTTGAATTATAAACAGTCAAAGTTACAAATTGCACTTTGCATACTGATTAAGAAATAGTGAATGACAAACACAGCAACGTTTTCCAAGATGAGGTAGGAACACGCTTTTTTGCTAACTAAAATCAGAAAGATTTACACTGGATTAAAGAGTAAATAACTCTTTTATCACTTAGAAAAGAGACCAATTATATAAAAGCATATTGTACAATGATGTAACACTAAAAAAGAGAGTTAGTGAAGCTCTACCAGCTTTTTCACCTACTAAAATCAGAAAGATTTACACTGCAATGATGAGTAGATAATTCTCTTAACACTAAGAAAGGAAACAATTTTATTGAAGCACATTGTGTAAGTAATAGTAAGATAAGAAAAAGATGGGGGCTACAGTTGGGTAACTGGGAAGGATTTACACCAGAAAGGTGAGTAGATGAATCGTTTACACCAGAAAGGTGAGTAGATGAATCGTTTACACCAGAAAGGTGAGTAGATGAATCGTTTACACCAGAAAGGTGAGTAGATGAATCGTTTACACAAGAAAGGTGAGTAGATGAATCGTTTACACCAGAAAGGTGAGTAGATGAATCGTTTACACCAGAAAGGTGAGTAGATGAATCGTTTACACCAGAAAGGTGAGTAGATGAATCGTTTACACCAGAAAGGTGAGTAGATGAATCGTTTACACAAGAAAGGTGAGTAGATGAATCGTTTACACCAGAAAGGTGAGTAGATGAATCGTTTACACCAGAAAGGTGAGTAGATGAATCGTTTACACCAGAAAGGTGAGTAGATGAATCGTTTACACAAGAAAGGTGAGTAGATGAATCGTTTACACCAGAAAGGTGAGTAGATGAATTGTTTACACCAGAAAGGTGTATAGATGAATCGTTTACACCAGAAAGGTGAGTAGATGAATCGTTTACACCAGAAAGGTGAGTAGATGAATCGTTTACACCAGAAAGGTGAGTAGATGAATAGTCTACACCAGAAAGGTGAGTAGATGAATCGTTTACACTTCCAATAGAAACCAATAAATCAAGAGTTCTTTGTTGTTAAAAGGTACAATTCTCTCAAGGTCAACATGAGAGATCAGATACTTTTACTTGATTGCGTTATATCTTGCCTGGATCCATAGAATTAAAGATGAATATCGTGGATTCTTGTGACACTATCTGATAAGTGAAATAGCATACAGTCATAGCGTTTGGGCGAAAGGGGATAATCTTTCATTGGTCAAAATTTTACAAGTTAAGAAAAATATAACACTGCATACTATATATTTAAAATTACTAATAAACCTGTTTACTAGAAAATTAGTATATTGTACCAAATAGATCAGACTTTTAGCTTTTTAAATTTAAATCATCCTAACTGAGCAGTATTATTAACCAAATCTATTTTTAATCATTTTGAAATTTAATAACACTTATCCAATCTAAATGTAAACTAAGTACAATACCACTTAAACTACCCTTAACTATAACACTAACCCAATTTAATTTATCTTATGCAATCTTTCTGAAACTATTTATGATTACCTAAAATAGTGATAATAATGAGTAAACAATGCAGCTTTGTTAAACTTTAAAATGAAAACGAAACCTAAAACCCGACTTATTACTTTAGAAACACTTTCAATTATTTTTAAAATCTAGTTTTTTATATCCTCAGCCCGGTTTTTTATTTCAAATGAATACAATATAGGAAAACACAGTCTATGGTACACAGATGCAGAAAACACTGCGGAACATATATATATATATATATATATATATATATATATATATATATATATATATATGGGGGAGAGGGAACCAAATTGAAAATTTGTTCCAGGCTTGGGAAGGGGTCATTACGCCACTTGTTGTGTAGGTGTCACCTTTACCTTGAACCGATGAGCTGAGTGAAGAGAGGGGTCCTGTACATGGGTCAATTCTTACTCTGCTTATCAGGCCTTGTACCTTCATTTTCAAGGCGCAATCATTTATCAGACTATCAAGTCAGTTATTTGTGTTTTGATAACTAAAATGATCTACTTTTAAAAGTATTTTACCTCCTCTGTCAAATTGACACCAAAATGATTTTTTGAAAGAAAAAACTTGAAAAGTCTTGTATTGCTGATTGATGCTAGGTCTATAGGGCGGGATGTATCAACCCTATTTAGGTCAATTAACCGTTGCATTTCCAGGAGACTGATTGGTGGATACTGCCGTCTAATGCTGCCAATACAATCATATGCAACATTTTGTTCATAAAATTGAACACATACAATTATGATTTAACACAAGGAACATTTACAGAAGTATTAATAAAATCTAACAAGCTTTAACTGTTCCTAAAGTATGCCGTCTTACACATATTGTCCGTTGTGTCCTACCATACACTAAAGAATGTCTTGTAATGCATATTGTCAATTATGTCCTACCATACACTAAAGAATGTCTTCTTACGCATATTGTCCATAATATTTCTCTGAAGGGGTTGTATCTATTAATGGATTTTGTCCTCCCTCATAGCCAAGGGGATCCCAAGTTCCACGAGCACCTTGACCCTTGTCACCTCTACCTTTTTTCTTGCTTCTCCTACTTCTATCAACTTGCTTTTTCTGGAAAATAAATTGAGAGAAATTTTTTTTAGCTCATCAACCAGGATATGTGTGGTAGTAGAGGACAATGGCAGGTCTAGTAGTATGACCTCTGACCCCAAACAATGGCATGGGCTTGTTGGGATCAACATTTTGCTGATCTTGCTCAATTTCGCTCATATTTTACTCCAGAAAAAACGGAAAATTATCAGTTTTACATCCAAAATTATCATGAATCCTGAACTGTAAACATTTAAAATATTAAAACCTGTTTTTTTCTGCCAAATCTCAAGGTTTTAAGACAAAATTGTATGTCTATACATTAAAAAGAAAATAGACATTGCAGCTGAGTTTAAACAGTCAAGAAATTCTTGATAGAATCCTCCAATTAGGTCAACTGTCAAGAAATTCTTGATAGAATCCTCCAATTAGGTCAACTGTCAAGAAATTCTTGATAGAATCCTCCAATTAGGTCAACTGTCAAGAAATTCTTGATAGAATCCTCCAATTAGGTCAACTGTCAAGAAATTCTTGATAGAATCCTCCAATTAGGTCAACTGTCAAGAAATTCTTGATAGAATCCTCCAATTAGGTCAACTGTCAAGAAATTCTTGATAGAATCCTCCAATTAAGTCAACTGTCAAGAAATTCCTGATAGAATCCTCCAATTAGGTCAACTGTCAAGAAATTCTTGATAGAATCCTCCAATTAAGTCAACTGTCAAGAAATTCCTGATAGAATCCTCCAATTAGGTCAACTGTCAAGAAATTCTTGATAGAATCCTCCAATTAAGTCAACTGTCAAGAAATTCCTGATAGAATCCTCCAATTAAGTAAACTGTCAAGAAATTCCTGATAGAATCCTCCAATTAGGTCAACTGTCAAGAAATTCCTGATAGAATCCTCCAATTAGGTCAACTGTCAAGAAATTCTTGATAGAATCCTCCAATTAGGTCAACTGTCAAGAAATTCTTGATAGAATCCTCCAATTAGGTCAACTGTCAAGAAATTCTTGATAGAATCCTCCAATTAGGTCAACTGTCAAGAAATTCTTGATAGAATCCTCCAATTAGGTCAACTGTCAAGAAATTCTTGATAGAATCCTCCAATTAGGTCAACTGTCAAGAAATTCTTGATAGAATCCTCCAATTAGGTCAACTGTCAAGAAATTCTTGATAGAATCCTCCAATTAGGTCAACTGTCAAGAAATTCTTGATAGAATCCTCCAATTAGGTCAACTGCCAAGAAATTCTTGATAGAATCCTCCAATTAGGTCAACTGTCAAGAAATTCTTGATAGAATCCTCCAATTAGGTCAACTGTCAAGAAATTCTTGATAGAATCCTCCAATTAGGTCAACTGTCAAGAAATTCTTGATAGAATCCTCCAATTAAGTCAACTGTCAAGAAATTCCTGATAGAATCCTCCAATTAGGTCAACTGTCAAGAAATTCTTGATAGAATCCTCCAATTAAGTCAACTGTCAAGAAATTCCTGATAGAATCCTCCAATTAGGTCAACTGTCAAGAAATTCTTGATAGAATCCTCCAATTAAGTCAACTGTCAAGAAATTCCTGATAGAATCCTCCAATTAAGTAAACTGTCAAGAAATTCCTGATAGAATCCTCCAATTAGGTCAACTGTCAAGAAATTCCTGATAGAATCCTCCAATTAGGTCAACTGTCAAGAAATTCTTGATAGAATCCTCCAATTAGGTCAACTGTCAAGAAATTCTTGATAGAATCCTCCAATTAGGTCAACTGTCAAGAAATTCTTGATAGAATCCTCCAATTAGGTCAACTGTCAAGAAATTCTTGATAGAATCCTCCAATTAGGTCAACTGTCAAGAAATTCTTGATAGAATCCTCCAATTAGGTCAACTGTCAAGAAATTCTTGATAGAATCCTCCAATTAGGTCAACTGTCAAGAAATTCTTGATAGAATCCTCCAATTAGGTCAACTGTCAAGAAATTCTTGATAGAATCCTCCAATTAGGTCAACTGTCAAGAAATTCTTGATAGAATCCTCCAATTAGGTCAACTGTCAAGAAATTCTTGATAGAATCCTCCAATTAGGTCAACTGTCAAGAAATTCTTGATAGAATCCTCCAATTAAGTCAACTGTCAAGAAATTCCTGATAGAATCCTCCAATTAGGTCAACTGTCAAGAAATTCTTGATAGAATCCTCCAATTAAGTCAACTGTCAAGAAATTCCTGATAGAATCCTCCAATTAGGTCAACTGTCAAGAAATTCCTGATAGAATCCTCCAATTAAGTCAACTGTCAAGAAATTCCTGATAGAATCCTCCAATTAAGTCAACTGTCAAGAAATTCCTGATAGAATCCTCCAATTAGGTCAACTGTCAAGAAATTCTTGATAGAATCCTCCAATTAGGTCAACTGTCAAGAAATTCTTGATAGAATCCTCCAATTAGGTCAACTGTCAAGAAATTCTTGATAGAATCCTCCAATTAGGTCAACTGTCAAGAAATTCTTGATAGAATCCTCCAATTAGGTCAACTGTCAAGAAATTCTTGATAGAATCCTCCAATTAGGTCAACTGTCAAGAAATTCTTGATAGAATCCTCCAATTAGGTCAACTGTCAAGAAATTCTTGATAGAATCCTCCAATTAAGTCAACTGTCAAGAAATTCCTGATAGAATCCTCCAATTAGGTCAACTGTCAAGAAATTCCTGATAGAATCCTCCAATTAGGTCAACTGTCAAGAAATTCTTGATAGAATCCTCCAATTAGGTCAACTGTTAAGAAATTCTTGATAGAATCCTCCAATTAGGTCAACTGTCAAGAAATTCTTGATAGAATCCTCCAATTAGGTCAACTGTCAAGAAGTTCTTGATAGAATCCTCCAATTAGGTCAACTGTCAAGAAATTCTTGATAGAATCCTCCAATTAGGTCAACTGTCAAGAAATTCTTGATAGAATCCTCCAATTAGGTCAACTGTCAAGAAATTCTTGATAGAATCCTCCAATTAGGTCAACTGTCAAGAAATTCTTGATAGAATCCTCCAATTAAGTCAACTGTCAAGAAATTCCTGATAGAATCCTCCAATTAGGTCAACTGTCTTGCTTCACGTGACTCAGCCGTTCCACACATCCAAACTATCCACTACCTACAGACCTAAAGATCCATAGGGCATATGAACTAAACCTCAGCATACCAAGGGATGGTGTTGTCATCACTAGGCCCAGCTGCTTTACTTAACATTAGTCAGGTACCCATCACAGCTGAATGGAGTCAGGGATTTCCTACAGCCACAAGCCCTGACTGAGATCCAAACTCTAGACCTTTGGGCAAGCAGTTGAGTATTCTACCACTCAACCACACCCAGTCAGACGGTGGTCACACTTTCATTTTTCTTTTCAGTCAATTTTAAAATATGTGGACGACTTCATTTACAAATATTATCTATATGTATAAAAAGCAATGTATGTTTGTGTGTCTGTCTGTCCTTTATGCATTACTACACCTCTCATCACATCGCTGTGAAACTTTGGGAAGTTGTTGAGAATATTCCTGGGGAGATTTCTGCGAAAAAAAATATTTCAAATTCGCAGGGGTGGCGCCCCGACAGGGCCGGTTTTTTCTTTCTATATACAGTATATAAAAATAAAAGTCGATTTTGGTTTGGCATCGTTCATCCAATAGCCATGAGACTTTGGGGAGTTCATTATAAAACTCTAGGGAAGGTTTCTGTAAAAAATCATTTTTGATCTCGCAAGGGTGGCGCCACGGGAGGGTGCGATTTTTCTCTATATACGGTATATAAAAATAAAAGTCGATTTTGGTGTGACACCGTTATCCGATAGCCATGAGACTTTGGGGGAGTTGATTAGAACAATTCAGGTAAGGGTTCTGTAAAAAAATCCTGTTTTTAATTTCGCAAGGGCGGCGCCATGGGAGGCTGTGATTTTTTTCTCTATATACGGTTTATAAAAATAAAAGTCTATTTCGGTTTCACACCGTTCATCCGTGTACCATGAAACTTTGTGGAGATGATTAGATCACTCAATGGTAGGGTTCTGCAAAAAAATATTGTTTAATATTGCAAGGGGGGCGCCCAGGGGGGGGGGGGGAGGGGGGAGCGATTTTTTCTCTATACACAGTATATAAAAAATAAAACTCGGATACGGTTTATAAAAATAAAAGTCCCGAGAATATTTCTGCGAAAAAGAAAACTAAAGTTTCTTATGGGCGGCGCCATATAGGGTACAACTTTCGTCAATACATGGTTTGGCGCCCAGAGTTTTAGAGCGACTATGTTGGCACTTGGCATCCGTTAATTGAGCGTCCTGCATAGCGAGTAAGGGGTACTACTATATTCAGCGGTAAAACTACAACAGGCTTCTAAAAATAACTGTAACGCGAGGAAATCCTTCTGTACAGTTTCGTCACCTTGCGAAAGATGAAAAAATAACATTTCGAATATGAGGAGCCTACTGTAGAGTTTCGTCACTTTGCGAATGATGCAATAAGCATCTATTATTAGACAATCGGGCAGATGAGGCTCGTTAGCTGGGGACAGCCACTCTTCTAGGAGAGACAACTCCAAAATTAAACAACTGCTGCCTTGTAGTTTGTTCTTGGTTGGACAAAGGCTATGGAAGCAAATCCAAAAAGAAAAGCAGGCTGAAATCGGAGTCAATGGCCTCAATGGCGCATAACCAGTTGACACGTAATGCTTAATTGTGTTGGAGGCGTGGTCGAGTCGGCAAAAAGCTCATGGTTGATAAATTCGAACAAAGTCTCGAGTTCAAACCTTCAACACTAAAAATTAAGAACGAAGAAGAAGAAAGAAGAGACAATCCAGTCAGAAATTGAGAACGAGCATCTAATAATAGACCATTAGTAACTCTAGCATATTGCATCAGTCACATTGATATTTACAACACGTCAAATAATTTTTTTACGTGTTAAAGAAAAAAATCCTGTTCATTTGTGTCACTTTAGCGAATGACTAAATCTGCATCATTATTAACAGGATGCTATTTGGCCGATGGCACC